GAAATTACTGCCTGTGCTCACTTCTAAGATTTTTATTGTTTCAGGTCTCACATGTAGGTCTTTAATCCACTTTGAGTTTGTGTATGGTATAAGAAAATGGTCCAGTTTCATTTTTTTGCATGTAGCTGTCCAGTTTGTTGAACCATTTGTTGGTTCAACACCATTTTTTTCCACTGGATATTCATTTCTCCCTTGTCGAATATTAATTAACCATATATTTGTGGGTTTATTTCTGGGTTTTCTATTCTGTTCTAGTCATCTATATATTTGTTTTTGTGCCAGTACCATACTGTTTTGATTACTGTAGCTTTGTAATACAACTTGAAGTCTGGAATTGTGATACTTGAAGTTTTATTTTTCTTTTTCAAGATTGCTTTGGCTATTTGGGGTCTTTTGTGGTTCCATACAAATTGTAGGATTGTTTGTTCTAGTTCTGTGGAAATGTTGTTGGTATACTGATAGGATTGCATTAAATCGGCTTTCTTGCTAATCTTGCTTTTGGTGGTATAGATATTTTAACATTATTTGTTCTTCCAACCTGTGAGCATGGAATGTCTTTCCATTACTTTTATAGTCTTGAATTTCTTTCATCAATGTTTTATAGTTTTCAGAGTACATATCTTTTACCTCTTTGGTTAAGTTTATTCCTAAAGATTTTATTGTTTTTGGTGCAACTGCAAATTGGATTGTTTTCTTAATGGTCACTTTCACATGGTTTCACTTTCTGCTGCTTCATTAGTGTATAGGGATGCAACAGATTTCTGTACATTGATTTTGTATCCTGTGACTTTACTGAATTCATTTATCAGTTCCAGTAGTTTTTTGGCGGAGTCTTTAGGATTTTCTCTATATAGTATCATGTCATCTGCAAATAGTGAAAGAAGGAAAACATAATTCGAATTTAAACAATTTTCTAGACCATCCTAATTAGGATTATTTTTAGTTCCTTAGGATGATCTGGAGATACATATGAGAAGTCTCTGTATATATTTTAGCATTTATTGTACATATAATATACAAATGTATAAATATGTATGTTATATATATTTATGTACAATGAACTGTACATAATTCTCTTTACAAAGTGTTTATTAATCTTAACAGATACTGTTGCTACTTTTTAAAAATTCTAAGTTTAAGACCCTATTTATGTATCATGTCTATTTTCTACCTACCTACCTACCTACGTACCATCTATGTAACTTCAAGCCAAATGTGCCCTATTTGTCATTAGATGAATAATCTGATATCTAGAGTAGGCAAAATCAGTTGTGCAGTATTCCTCACTGAGTTCTGGTATATTGAACATTTCTGACTAAAAATGCTACACCATACACTATCACGAGAATAAAGTCATGGGAAATAATGTATAAAGGAACGTGATGAGGACTGCAGACCCGAGTGATACAGGGTTTTGGAGGGAATCTGATGTCCATTTAATATTTTCTCACAGATTTTTTTTTTAACATTTTTTTTATTATTTATTTTTGGGACAGAGAGAGACAGAGCATGAACAGGGAAGGGGCAGAGAGAGAGGGAGACACAGAATCGGAAACAGGCTCCAGGCTCCGAGCCATCAGCCCAGAGCCCGACGCGGGGCTCGAACTCACGGACCGCGAGATCGTGACCTGGCTGAAGTCGGACGCTTAACCGACTGCGCCACCCAGGCGCCCCTCTCACAGATTTTAATACACATCCCACTCTATTTACTCCACACAGCAACCACCTGGCATATATTTTGGCATAGAGAGGTAGGAAAATATGAGTTTTGGAATCCAAAAGATGGGGATTCAATCCCTGCTCTATCAGGATGGGCAAGTGATTTATCCTCTGGAATGCCAGTCTCTTCATTCTTACGTATGGAGATGTCCATACAGGGCTGCTTGACATTCAAATGCAATCATTTGTGCACACAGAAGATACATAATAGGTTCCCAATTCATTTTGGTATAATGTGGTCAATAACAGAACCAGAGCCAACTTTCCAAATATGTAATTCATTTGAATTCAAAACCATGAAGACAGTTAAAATAGCTTAATAAAGCATATCTTGCATGCTTTTTTTTAAATCTGAAAAATGTAGGAAGAAGATTTTCTTTTATAAGTTTTTCTGAAATTCCTCACTTTGCAGCTCTTGAATAAGTGCTATTAGATCCATTCAAAAATTCGGTATTTTGCCTTTGTTCATATTGAGCTTTTAAAAAGTTTTCTAACTTTTGCTGATGTTTACACCTCTGAATATTCATCAGGTTTTACGGCTCACTCAGGAAAAATCTCCCTCTTTTCTTCTCTCAATCCATTTCCAACCTGGCTCCTCAACTCTTTTATCTAGATTTTCTGTTCTCTGAGGCTCTGTCCTCTAGTATTCATCTGGGCACCTGCTTTCCTACATTTAAGGTTTTAATTTAGTTGGGTGGCAAAATCCCTCAACACCTGTGACTTTTTGTATCCCCCAAGTTCTTAGCATAGTAACAGGCTGACAGTAAATGTTCAACATGCTTTTGTTGCTTGTACTTAACTAAAAAAAAAATTTATTCTAAGTATGTGAGCCAGTGGCAAGTTATGAATACAAAAGCTTGAGTTTGGTGCTCTTGTACCTCTTGTCAAATCCTAAGATGTCACATGTGAGATGTGAATTCTTATAGTTGACACCAAAAAGGTACCAATGGTGACTCATTGTTCCAAAATTTCAAAAGGCCTTCCCTACTATCACTTGTCCTAACTTGAAATTCCTTCATTTCTGAACCCTGTTTCATGAAAAGAAGCCTTGGAATGTATTCTTCTTGAGATAAGCATGTTACCTTTCTTGAGATAATTTCACTAGGTTAAAATAATTATTGAGGATATAGCAGAGCCCAACCTTGGCTAAGGGCAGAAGAAGGAACTGGATTTTATTTGGAGCAGTTCCTTATTTGAGTAAATGTTTACTGAAGTGAGTAAGCAGAGGCATTTCCATCTAAAACTTGGAGAGGAGACAGGAGAAGGGGAAGTTCAGAGAGGCAGGAGGCTACATCTTCAGGATTCGATTTTAAGCTCTGTGCCTGTGCATCACAGACAAAACAGTATAGGAGTTCTAGGTACAATGTACCGTTCTTCTTCTAGGGTCATTATTCATCTCTGCACCTCAACAGCAAGTACAGTCACAGAAACACTTGTACTGAAAAATTGTTCCTGTGTGACTCTGGACTTCTCCAGAGACAGTTTATTGATCAAGGTAAAACAGAGGACCAAGTTAAAAATGTGACAACATAGTGGGAAATCTTGTTACAAAAAGAAGGTACTAAAAGAAGGTTAGGTGACATAACAGTTTCCCTGAGCTCAGGTTCTCTTTCCACTGGACCCAGCCATTGGTGGTGTGATCCACCACTCAACCTCTATTATCCTCACTCAGTTTCCTCTTTCAAAAATGAGGATCTTAAATCTCTACCCTTTCCCCCCTCACTTGAAAAAAAAAATCTTTGATTCCTCGTATTAAAAAACATTTCTCCAAAATACTTTCATTTAAACTCCTTTTATTTAAATGAACGTCAGTTGAATTAACCCCCTCATAAACATTTCTTTTAAATCATTCTTTTCTAGGATTTTATGATGGACTCAGTCTTGAAAATCTCTAAGAGGGGGAGAAAAGAGAGAAACTGTTAAAGAACATCTCATATGAGCCAAATTTTTCATATTTATTTCATTCTCAAGCCTTATGAAATGGAAATTTTCTCCACTTTTAAATGTAAGAACACAGGCCATATAGCATGCTGCAGGCCAGGTAAGGGATGGAAAGCTCCAGGCTCCCCTCCCAGGTTTGATTTAAAAATCCATGTTCTTTCTAGTACTTGGTTGGTGCTGGCATTCTGTAAAAAAGGTAGGTATTCCATTTAACAGATGGAAAGACTGAGTTACTGAGAACCAGGGACTTCCTAGGTTTCATAGTAATCAGCATTTCTGGTGCCAGGCAGAAACTCAAATATTTTGGAGTAGAGTGTAAGTTTGCATCACAGGGTGTAGGAAAATATTTTTTTGTATGATAACTCTGATGCCAGCATTGAATTTTCAGGGTTTTAAAATGATGAAATTTGAGAGAGCTGAGCTTGTTGTATTTATATTTTTTAAAGGCATTACGTTGTTTTAATTCTTAATCGTTTTCTAACTGGGATAAATTTGTAGAATAAACTGATAGACTCTGATTCTGCTTAGCTTTAGTTTTCAACTCAAATAAGGGAGTGAAGTGCAGCATTGCTATAATTATGGTCTCTAAATGTGTAAGGTTCCAGATATACTCTATTATTTCACAGCATGTGCAAAGCTGAAATAAACACTGGGCTTTCCAAAAATCACACTTACAAAACAACTAATTGTAATCTACCTTTGTTCTGCTTGTAGAACTTGTCTCAGGATATGCTAACTGATTTCTTATGTTATACAAAGAGCCTTTAAAAAAAGAGTTTACTTTGTCACAGTTGAAAAAATACAAAAGTCACATAAAAGTATATTTTAGCTAACTGCAAAAAAAAAAAAAAAAGAAATTCTAGTACTTCAGTTGTTTACCAGAGACTATTTCAAAATGAACATATTTTATGTGTAAGAAATTGATAAAATTCTTTATTTTTTCCAAATATATCCTAGCCTCCCAAGCTCCCCAACTCCTGCCTTACACATACATAGTATCTAGAACATGATAGGACTTGATCTTGAACTTTATTTCTTCTTATAAAAGTAATTTTCCTATCTGAAAATAATTTGTAATGCTGTACAGCACTGTACTTCCTCATGCTTTAGGAAAGAATTTTTTTCCTCTGAATTTCCTTGTGTTGGTTTTTTCATCCTGCCGGTGTTGGCTTTAAGCCTTCTGTTCCTTTCAGTGCATTTGGTCTGGTGCCAAACGAGAGTCAGCACTTAGCCCAAAAGTATCATTTTCCAGCACACAGAATCAGAAGGAAAACCCCGCCTCTTACACCCACTACTAATTACCATACCACAAAACTGACTAGTTGCATCACTGGCCCATCACTTGTGAATATCTGCTTTCCAGAGCTCTCATTCCTGCACAGAATGAGTTTGAGCCACATGGAAGACATGCCTGTAAGCCATTCAGGCCCTCAAGGAACACACAGACCACCCTGGAAGCAATGGTTCCTCTACTCAACCATAGTTATTTTGCTGTTTCTCTGCTCCTTCAGTACACTAATTCTTACTTTTCTTCCACTCAAGGTAAGGAGACAATAATACCTAAGGTTGCTTTTTTTTTTTTTTTTAGCAAGTCTAGTTATTGTCATTCAGTATTGTTAGAGCTAGTTGGAAGAAAGAGACATGTGGGTATAGATAATGTAAACAGAATTTCAATTTTGTCATGTCATATGGCTTTTGAGGTTTACCTAAATATTTTGAAATGAAAGGTTTAGAAAATGCTAAATGTTAGCTGCATTACTGAGTTAGATAGAATCAATTAAATCAGTCAATTGACAGATGCCTTGGAATATTTTCTCCTTTTCTGGAACTCTGCTAAACCCTCTTGGTGGAATAAAGGAAAAAACATATGTTTGCTTTCAAGGAATGGGATGCAAGCTATAGCCTTAATGAGGGGAAAGACATAAGATAATGGAAGACAGAACAAGGTAAGTGACAGGTGGCCAGTGCATCTTTATGGAAGGAAATGGCACTGAACTAGGAGTAAGATCTGGATTCCGGTTCTAAGCCTCCCTAACTCTATGAATTTAAGAAAGACTTTTAATCTTTCCAGTTCTCAGTTTCTGCATCTGAAAATTGGTGGCAGGAGAATGGATTTGTTCATTACAATGCCCCTTCTAGCTATAAAATACAGTGATTAATAATTTACCTAAGGGTAGTATAGAACATAAATGCTTTAGGAATTCAAAATAGGGGACAACGATTTTGGGCTAGGGTGATCAGGAAAAGTTTCATGGGGGAAGGAGAAAGCACATTGCTGTTTGGGAAGCCCCTGATGTTTATCAGAAATTTCCCATTGAGCTCCAGTCCAAGTTGTTGGTCTAGTAAAGGAAATGGAGATATAGTAGGTTCTTCTTAGCAGTTTTACTGACTGTTGACTACATAGCACTGACCAAAAAGAAAATAATAAATTCTTTATTTAATTTAGGATTTAACCCATTTCTGGGTATATCTGAAGATTCTGGGCCCTGGAGAGAATAAGGTAGTATATGCCTATCTAAGAAAGGGCTAGGATATGAAATTAGTGCCAGTGGAAACATTTTTCTAAGGAGATTGGCCAGTGAAGATTTCAGAGATAAGGTTCTACTATTTAAAATATTTGAAAGCAATTGAGAAAAGATGCAGGAGGAAGCAGTACATGGTATTTGCTGTTGTTAATTTAGTTAGGACAAGTGTAGCTTTGGCCAAATTTTTACACAGTAGTCCTTTAATCTGTATTCCCTAACTGTACACAAGGGTATGCAACAGAGGCTTTCTAATGACATCCCTACCTTCTCCAGAAATGTATCAAGGAGAAGCCTGAACTTTCTGGAGCAGTGAAGCTATGAGCTGAAAGAAAAGAACTGTCAGGAATCCTGAGTGTTTTATTTCTGAAGAAGGGGAAGGGTGTGAATAGCAATAGCTTAACTTTGGAAACACTTTATCCCTCTAGAAACCGCCTCAAATTTTAGCCAGAGGACCCTGAAAAACATAGGATATGTTATAGGTGTCATCCGTTCCTGCATGTAACTGGAGAACCAATGCTGGCTCTTGCAAAGACTAAGAGGAAGTCTAAAAATGCCAGCAGCACCTAGGACACCTCTTTCCAGAACTGAACTTGACCAATCCCATGTATTTAAGCTCTGATTCCCTATCCTAGACAACATGCATCTTCTCAATGAAAGGTTCTGCCTCTAATGAAATAGTCCAGAATTTATTTCAAATTTTGGAAAATTTAAAAGGTTTTTAGGATATTGTCCTGATTGGATGCCATAAAGGCTTATTTCCTATAGGAAAAGCCAATGGCCTGGCTGACAGTGCAATGATATTTAACTCAAGTATTCCACTTTCCGCTTGCCTGTGCTTCCCTTTCCCAACCTTCCACAAATAAGTATCTTAGGAAAGAAGGTCTGAGTGGCTAGCAGATGATGAGTCATTATGAGGTGGCTGCTTTCACCTTTTCACAATACGCATGAATGCTGGAGTGTATTTTTGGTCTCCACTCTAGTTTTTATATACAAAATCCCACTTTCCAACTTCTCTAGGCACTAATCCAAAAAGTGTTAGACAGGAAGATTTGCTCCTTTTAGACCAACAGAGGTTTCCTTGGAAGAACTTTTTTTTTTCTCCCCCCACCCTTTCTTTCAATGAAATGAAGGAAGCTTCCAAAAGGGGAAATTGCGCTTGTACTTAAAAGCAGAATAGATTCTATTTCCAAATGATAATCTGGTTGTGGTTGGTTTATAGAAAGAATTATTATTTTGGCCATTTGAACCCAAGCATTTAAATCTGGGCTTAAATCAAAATGAGATTACAAGAGCAATTGATCCTTCTAAGCAAAAACGAATTTAACTCAATGGAAAGTCCCATATGCTTCTTATAAATGGATATTTACCCCTTCTAAACCAGAATTATAAATAGAAACTACCCCACAGAGTACTGGGGGTGAGACTTTTGAATCAGACAGGTTGTTTGGAACTCAGCATAGCTTCTTATCAGCAGCATGACTTTGGGCTAGTGTTACTTAATCCCTCTCAGACACACTTCCTCATCTGCAAATGAGCATGCTACTTCTTATCCCATAGACTTGCAGTAAGGATAAATGGGACAGTATAGTGCTGGACCCATAGTAGGCTCTGAATAGATTGTAGTGATTAATATTTGCATCCTTATTATTGACATTATAAGGAAGATAAATTTAAAAAGACTTTTAACAAAATGGATATTCCTTGCTCATCTATTTAGTTTCTTCATCTAAAGACTATACCTTGTTGCCAAATAGATGATTTTTGTGATTAGACAGATTTTCATTTGTGGCAATAGGGAATATCAGTGATGGTTTCTGTAGTACTGAGTAGACATTAAAGCGGTCCAAGTAGAGTATCCAGGATTTCAGTTTCTGGCAATTAATTTGTCTGTGGCCTTAGGTTTCTCCACACACTCATTATGCATGACAGTAGACACCACAGATATGATCTGTGCCACATATTTTGGCACTCATTTATATTTAGATTGCTACCCAATTGCCTCATGTGTGTAATCCTGTCTTTCTAGAAAGATTATAAATTTCCTAAGAGGCAAGGACTATAAGTTACATGGTTCCCTTGCTGACAATGCTAGCTGGGAATATAGGCAATTCAATATTTTGTTCAATTTTTCATTACAATCAGCATCATTATCAAAATAGCTAATATTTAATGAGCAGGACCAGGTCTGTCTGGGCAAAGCCCTTCATAACAATTATTATATTTAAACCCATAAACACTCTCAGTAAACTAGGTGCTATTGTTTCCATTTTATAAATGAGAAAATTGAAGATAAGGGAATCCCTATCACATGCCTATCATGGATCAAAAGAAGCTGGATTTCAGCATTTTTTTTCTTTTTTTAAAAAAAAAAATTTTTTTTAACGTCTATTTATTTTTGAGACAGAGAGAGGCAGAGCATGAATGGGAGAGGGTCAGAGAGAGGGAGACACAGAATCTGAAACAGGCTCCAGGCTCTGAGCTGTCAGCAGAGCCCAACGCGAGGCTCGAACCGCGAGATCATGACCTGAGCCGAAGTCGGCCGCTTAACCGACTGAGCCACCCAGGCGCCCCTCAGCATTTTTTTTTTCTAAGAAACACCAAAAGGAGGATGGAATAATTGCAAGAGCAAACATAATTGTAGGAGTCCAAACTTTAAAAAAAAAATTTTTTTTTGATGTTTACTTATTTTTTTTTTTTTCAACGTTTATTTATTTTTGGGACAGAGAGAGACAGAGCATGAACAGGGGAGGGTCAGACAGAGAGGGAGACACAGAATCGGAAGCAGGCTCCAGGCTCTGAGCCATCAGCCCAGAGCCCCACGGCAGAATCTACAGACTCGAGCGCGATGACCCTGGCGAAGTCGGACAGCTAACGACCTATGCTCACCCAGGCAAGCCCCCATGATGTTTACTTATTTTTGAGAGAGAGAGAGAGACAGAGCGTGAGTGGGGGAGGGGCAGAGAGAGGAACTTAGAATCCTAGCAGGCTCCAGGCTCTGAGCACAGAGCCCGACATGGAGACTCGAACTTGAACCAAAGAGATCGCCCCAGCCTGAGCAGTCAGAGGGGAGGCTTAACTTGATTAAATTACCGGCACCCCAGGAATCAAAACTTTTTGATTGCATCTCCTTAGCAACAAAACAAAATGTTTTTGAGTATAATCCCAACATATAGGCTAATTTATTATGTTATATATAAATACTAATACTATGTATAATAAAAAGATACACAAAATGGAAACTCATAAGAATGAACTGAATAACATGCTTGATCTAGTTTCTTCACAGTGCAAAACTGTTTTGCTTTTGTCAAAATATTATATTTAATATCTTAATATAACAAACATTTCTAAAGTAATTGAAACAATACTTTAATAGAGTAATTTGATAAATGCATCTTTTATTTTCTTAATCTTAGTTTAAAATGCTTTGCGACATAATAATTTGAAGGTTATATTGTAAGTTAATTTACCTTGATTCATGATTTTGACTCTCATAACCTATAGTTCCGCACTCTCCTCACCTGGACTATTTCATTCCTTTGACTTCTCTTTAAACAACCAATGTCCTCCCCCTTCTCTCTCTCACCTGAAAACCTGTCTCCTGGTTCTATAAGAAAATTGAAGTAGGCGGGAAGGAAGTTCCAAAACTTCCCATCGTACCTACCACTTACCTGCATTTTTTTCCCATGTAGAGTGTGCTTCCCTCATGGCACTGCATATGAACTGTTCATGTGCCTATCTAAGGCCACCTCTGATCCAGATTCTGTCCCCTTACCTACTCAAAGACATTGCTCTAACAATTATTTCCTAGCTCTTACATTCTACCTCTTGCCACTTCACTGGAACATTCCCATCAAATGGCAACAGATAACCATGTTGTCAGTTCCTTCATGTTAAAACAAAACCAAAGACAAGAAAAAAATAATAATCTCTCATCCCCACCTAGGCTCCACTCAATTTTTCTGTTCTCCCTCACAAGAAAATTCTTCTCAATTTCTCTTTTCTCATTTAGACTTAAATCCACTTTAAGTTTCTGTCCTCATCACATTGCAGAAACTACTTTTGCCAAGAACCCCAATGACTACTATGTTGGTAAATCCATCAGTTAATTGCCTATCCTCTTCTCACTTGGCCCATCAGCAGCATTTGATACAGCTGATCACTTCTCCCTAAAATACTTTCTTCTCTTAGTTTGCAACATCACACTTTCCAGGTTTCCCTTCTGACTCACTGGTCTTTCCTTCTTAGTCTCCTTTGCTGGTTCTTCCTCATTCCCTGACCTCCAAGCATTGCAGTGCTCCAATGTTCCTCTCTATCTATATTCACTGCCTCGACAATCTTACACAGTCTCACATCTTAAAGCATCACCTAGAAGCTGAAGATTCCTGAATTTATATCATCAGAACTCCTTAAATTCCATCCTCATAGGTCCAAATGCCTACCTGACACTCCTACCTGGATATGTGGTAAGCATCACAAACTTGATGTGTCCAAAAATGAACTCATGAGTCCTTCCTTTGTTTCTTTCTCTTAAATCTTGCTCATTCCAGTGATTAGCAGCTTTATCTTTTCAGTTACTCATGCCCAGTATCTTGGAGTTATCTGTTTTCTTCTCATTATCTCATCCCATATCCATGTCAGGATAGCTAGCACCTTGGTCAGAGGCACCATGCTTTCTTGCCTAGATGATTACAATGATCTCTTAACTGGCCTCACTGCTTTTATCCTAGCCTCTCTTTGCTTTATTCCTACCATAGCAGCCAGAGAAATCCCACAAAAGAAACACGTGCAATTATCTTTGAGTTCAAAAGGCCTTTTAAGCACTTTGCCACAAGGAAACCAATGAACTTTACGTGGTACAAAAAAATTTTTTTTTGTGGTTATACCTTATTTTGCTCTTGAGTATTTTAAGGGCTTTAGCATTTAAATACCAGTATTTATAGAATTAATCACACTGATGGGTTCTTGTAGCAAGTAAACTGTGGTATGCTGCCACAGTTTGAAACTGAAGTCTCCTCATGGTATCTCAGTTACCGTAAATGGTGTGATTGTCTGAATATTAAATGAAGGTGGTTTTACAAATCTGCATTGTGAATATTTCTACAGTTTATTAAAGATAAAAATAAACACAACTAGGAATTTTATTATTTTCTTCTCCCATGTCAATGGATCACCTGGTACAGTGAGTGGAGTGTGAAGACTAGTGTTTACCGACAATTTCTGTAGCCCAAGAGGAGGAGAGTCCAAGAGCAGATAGTTGTCCTGTGGGTATAGGTTAGGTGGATGGAATGAGACCTCAACTTTTGCTGAGAAGACCCAACAGGGCAGCTAGGTAATGGAAGGGAAAGGACAGAACCGGCCATCTACAAAGGGAAGCTGAGGACAGGAGAGACAAGGTGGAGGAAAGGATTTTTTATATGGCTAGGGAAATGAAGTTGGCTTTAGGATCTGAAGCTCCAAATAAACCAACAAGTAAAGCCATGATATGGTCATTATCCTGACAAATTCCTCTTTTTCTTCCCGTACAGACTGCCAGTGAGCCCTGCGTAGCTAAGTTCGGTGAGTAACCTGTCTTGTGTATCTCTGTTTTACTTTTCTTAGTATTTGATACAAGAAGGAAGCCTGTATTCTATTTTATTCATTTTTCAGCTACTATTTATAGCTGTTTGTCAAGTGCCAAGCAGTTGTCTAGTTGCTGAGACTTCAGAGATAAACTAGGCAGACAAGTCCATGCCTTGATGAAGCTGACATTCAAGGCCACATCTCTGGGCAGGAATGTACATCACTCTTACAGGCCCAGAAACATGAAATCCAGGAATCTACTTTTAATTCTGTGGTTTTTTAAGAAACTTTTTTTCCTAAAAATTTCTGTGTTTTAATAAGCACAAGTTTCGTATTTCTATAACTTTTCCCTGTGACAAACTCAAAGTTCTGCTCACATACCACATATTGCCAGTGCCTCGTAGAGTGTGTGTAGGGTGCCATTTTTGTTTCTGAATGTACAGAGAAGGGATGGAAACTAGGGAAATGGCCACTCCCCTTGTGCCCTTCTCCTCACCTTTCAGCTTCCAAGCCACTTTCCCTTATAGAGACCTGGGATTTGCTAAGAAAACACATTACAGTTTATAGTTACACTGAGCCTTAGGGTATTTCTTAGCCTACATACAAAATTGAAAGTAAGTACATTTGGATTGTTAATTGGATATTTCAAGCCAAATACATATTTTCGGCTGAGAGCAGAACATTTCTAGTGTTAACTGCAATCCTTGTTTTCCTATACAGTTCAAATTGCCAGCCTTCCCTGGTTTGGGAGAGTTAGGGAAGCTCTACTTGTCTCTGCCTTTGTAATTTGTTTTTATTTTTTTTAATGTTTATTTATTTTTGAGGGGGAGGGGAGGACAGAGAGAGAGGGAGATACAGTATCCCTGTATCCCTAAAGGGATCCCAGTATCCCTAAAGCAGGCTCTAGACTCTGAGCTGTTAGCACAGAGCCCGATGCGGGGCTCAAACTTGTGAACTGTGAGATCATGACCGGAGGCGAAGCTGGATGTTTAACTGACTGAGCCACCTAGGCGCCCCTGTTTTTGTTTTTCTAGTGAATGGAGAGGAAATAACGATATGTTTGAAATTCCTTCTTGATGTGATAAAATGTTAAGAATATCACATGCTGCTAATAGGTGCCCTCAGGGCTAGTGGCCCCTGTAACAGAACAAGAGAACCAGGGGCACCTTTTTGCAGTGACTTGCCTATTGTCTATTGCATATTACACGGTCCTACACAGCAGGAAGAAATTTACTAGGCTTTGGACTCACTGGAGATACAGAGGCTTTGCTTCTTGTTCTAATAGCTCTCCTTTATTCTCCTTTAGAATCTGCCCTCAGAGCCTTATAGCAATCATTTATATAAACAAGAATTTAAGTCAATGTGTGATCTCTCCCAGGGTGCTTTCTTATTAAGGTGTCTTTCTAATTATGAGATAAAGGCTTTGCCCTCATAAAAAATAAGTTATGGAGAATTAGGGACTAGGCCAAATAAGTATTTTGAATGATCAAAACACATCCTGGGGCTCTGAAATCAAACTACTGTGCTAAAACAATTAACATTAAGAAAATATGTAAATTCTACTTATACCTATGAAAATACGTGATCTAGTGTAGATTCTTCCCCACCCTCCACCCGTGACAATATTAAACTAGGAATACTTACATTTAAACAAATAATTTTCATTTATAAACTAATGAATTTACCAGTAGCTGTTTTTGAAGAGTTGGATAATGATATCCTAAGTAGATCTTGGGTATATACCCTAAACTAAAGAGAAGAGCCATAATTTAGACACAATGCACCTAATTCAGGAACATGGATGTATCATTCAATCAGTAAATATTTATTGAGCACATACTAGGTCCGAGGAACTCTTTTAGGTGAAGATATAGCAATGAACAAAATAGAGAAGTACTTATTTTCAAAGATGTTATCTTCAAGCAGGTATAAGATAGAAATAAACAACTGAGGAACTTAATTCATAATACATTAGATGGTGATATACCTTCTGCGAAGAAAACTAAAGCAGGATGAAGAGAGAGAATGACAGGAGAGCACTCTTTTATATAGATTGATGAGGAAGATCTCATTCACAAAGTGATACGTAGTATGATAGTATTTACATAGAAAAGCATGAATATGTGGGGTGCCCAGATGGCTCAGTTGATTGAGTGTTGGGACTCCTGATTTTGGCTCAGGTCATGATTTCATGGTTCGTGGGACTGAGCCCCACGTTGTGCTGTGAGCTGACAGTGAAGAGTGTGCTTGGGATTCTCTCTCTCTGCCACTTCCCCACGTGTGCACACATGTGCACTGTCTCTCTCAAAATAAACAACCATTAAAAAAAAAAAAAAAGCAAAGCATGAATATGCATCCTGGACTGCCAATTGGTTATCACAATCCTGGTGTGTGAGTCTACTCTCCCTTCCTCCTCCTTTCTTTCTTTTCACAAATACTGATTGACAAGAGATACAAATGCCACCTAAAACTTAACACATCTTTCTGTTCCAAATCCATTTCTTTAGAATTCCCCAAGCAAGAGATACACTTAGGATCTGTAATATCTCGAAACAAGGAGTAGGTGGGGCGCCTGGGTGGCGCAGTCGGTTAAGCGTCCGACTTCAGCCAGGTCACGATCTCGCGGTCCGTGAGTTCGAGCCCCGCGTCGGGCTCTGGGCTGATGGCTCGGAGCCTGGAGCCTGTTTCCGATTCTGTGTCTCCCTCTCTCTCTGCCCCTCCCCCGTTCATGCTCTGTCTCTCTCTGTCCCAAAAATAAATAAGCGTTGAAAAAAAAAAATTAAAAAAATTAGTTTAAAAAAAAAATAAACAAGGAGTAGGTATTTAAAATATTAAAATTGTGGTTGGAGAGAACTAATGTGGACTAGGTAAAGAAACAACTTGTTAAGTGGGAAAGAACTATAGTCAGGAAAGGAATGAAGTAACTATGCCCTCTTTTTTCTCTTTTGTAAATTTCTTATAGGACCACTTCCTTCAAAATGGCATATGACATCTCCTAAGCTTCCTTGTGTGAATAATACAGCTGATTGGAACCTGAAGATACTTCGGAATGGCTTGTATTTAATTTATGGTCAAGTAGCTCCAAATACAACCTACAAGGAACCAGCTCCCTTTGAGGTGCGGCTATGTAAAAACAAAGATGTCATACAAACTCTAACAAACAACTCTACAATTCAAAATGTAGGAGGGACTTATGAACTGGATGCTGGAGATACGCTTCATTTGAAATTCAACGATGAACATCAGGTTCTTAAAAATAATACCTACTGGGGGATCTTATTGCTAACAAATCCCCAATTTATCTCCTAGAGACTCAATTTGGTCTACTCATCATCTTTAGCACATGCAGAGAGGCTGATGGGTGGGTTGAAGGAGGCAGATTTTCAACACACACAGTTTGCCTGCGTGCACAAATCAGCATAAACAGAACTCTTGTCTGCATGTGAGTTTTCATCTCTCAAGCTTAACTGAAGACAGGCCAGAGACATTTGATTACCGCCGACATTGGGTTGACAAAAACACTTTACCAATCCACGATAAATGACTATGGGTGGCTCGAGGACAGAAGCTTCTCAAAGAGTCTTTGTCTAATTCTTAAATCCTTCGGTGAGAAAATTGTCTTATATCCCTGGGAATCTTAACTGGTATGCCAAAAAAGATCCAGAGCAATGGTCTGGCTTTGTTCTCATATTCTTGGGCTGCTTCACCTTATTCTTCCCATACTCCTGTCTTTTGAGGCCCTCCTATTAAAAGTAGTCAGACTGGGAGGGTGGCCACAAACATGCCAACAACACCCCACTTTAGATGTGATGATGTTAGATGATAGGGAACACTATCGTCTATTGGGACAGAGGCATAGGTGGCATGGAATGGATGCACTTTACTTGGGAACATCCCTGGATTTCATCATGTTCAGGATGCAGAGTGCTTTATAAAACCAGTTGGTCAAAGGACTCATTCTGAACCTTCACAGAGGGCTCCTGGGAACTTGTTTATTGTGTCTACATGTTGTCAGTGGTAAAGAAAGAGTAATCATAAAAATTAACCCCCAGAAATTGGTATCATCAGTACTGTATTATGTCATGTAATAGTTTCCTGTTTTTAGCTGGCTCTTCACAGTTTGCCAAGTGCTTTCAATAGATCACAGGGCAACTCCAGGAAGCTAACGGGGCAGGTGTTTTGGCACAATTTAAACAATGAGAATATAAAGGCAGAGAGAACATCGGTAATTTGCCTCAACCCATAGAACTAGAGATTAACAGTGGGCTTCCCCACTGTCTCGTACTGCCTTAGCTTAAGAGTTGATATTTCAGCTTTCGTGTTATAGTCTATAAAGTTTAGCAGATTTAATTATCAGGAGATACATTCCCTTTCAGCCCAAGGTGGGTAGAATAAAGCTACAACACATCTCTCCTTTCTTAGCAAACTTTTCCTTTCCCTGCTTATAGCAGGAAACACAAGGGTATTGCTCAGGGCTTCCTTCAAACAAATCCCCTTGCTGCCTTGGTCAAATGTGTTAACTTCTGAAAATAATGAATAGCACTCAATTCAATAACAGCCTGCTAAAATTTTAGACTCTGTTAAATTAATTAGCTGCCTGTGGATTCTTGTTGAAAGGTATGTAATATGACTATATGATAACCCAATTTAAAATATTTATGGATATTTGTAAAAAGCTACATTGTTAATTAATACTATTACATATAAAGCTAATTTAAAAATATTTGTATTGTTTACAAAAAAAAAAAAATTGCTCAGGCTAAGCCTGAGGCAAAAAAAAACCATCTGCTGAGTAGCTGTATGGCCTAAACCTGGATACCTTGTTTCTCTTGTATTTGCATATCTTCTCAGGAAATTAAAATTATATCACGTATTTATAGAAGCCCACTGGTATTGATTGTTGTTGAGTTATAAGCAGCAGTGTGCTGAAGTGCTGGAGTGAGCTAGCACTAAGCTCATGATAGCTGATTGTTACATTTTCAAAATTTTGCAATCTGGTTATTAATTAGTCATTCTTGAAATTGGCCATGGTGGGACTATTTATACCATGGGAACTGGCAAACACAAATTAGGGATTTTCCTTGTGGAGAGCCTGTTAACCAGCACATGGCTATTTGTAAAACACTCCTTAATGACTTCTTTCTGCTCCTGCCTTATTCCTGGGACAATCAAGGTAGGCAAGAGAGTGAAATTATCATACTCCCAGGAAGAGCCCCCATGGTAATGATTTCTCAGGGCAAGGATGAGCTCAGCAGCTGCAGGGAGAGTGAAGGCTACCAACAGACGATCTTTGAATTTTCCTGGTGTTGTAATTTCAGCCTTTGTTTTCAACGTATACTATTTCCTTGTTTCTTCAAATACATGAAACCTATATAAATGTTCTGTTGGTAAGTGGGCTGTAGCTAACTTATCCGTGGATTATCAGTTTAGCATCAGTGATATTGAGAACTTGAGGGTGCATCAGAGAAATCCTTGCCCAAATGAAACACTGTTTGGCTAGTGTTAGGCAAAAGTGAGAGCTGGATGCAATCAGCTTTTGATTATAGCTGTTCCAATTTTTGATGGGTTAGTCAGACAGTTTCACATTCTGACTTCTGTCCCTCCCCTCAACTCCACATCAGCCATCCTCACTAACAAAGCCGTCACCAACCCCTTTCATACTGTTTTTTACCTTCACTCTTGCCCATCAAAACTGACCTAGAGTGTGTTACAGCACTATGGGTTGAGTGCCTCCTGAAGATAGCAGTTGACTGGAAAGCAACGCACTTTTGTGCATTTGATGGGGGCAAACTAACTCCTTAAATATATCTGTTTACCTTGGAGATGAAATTCCTGTCTTTTTGTGTTTGATCTCAAAGAAGCAATTTCATTGGTGGAGGTGAGAGGATATTTTTTATTAGAGAGAAGAAGAAAAAACCTGATTGATTTACGGGCAAGGAGTCTGAAGATTACCTTCAAGTATAAGTTATAAAGGATACCTTGGTACCTACACTTTTCTTGATCTGAATGGATGCGTCTCCATTTTGGGGGTCATTTGTGACCCTGGCAAAGTCACTCTACAGGTCATGACTCTCCTGTGAGTCCCACATTTATCCACAAGAGACCAGTACACACACTTTGTGCCTACAAACTCAGAGTACGACTGCAGCAAGATTCTCCTGTCTCTACGCCCAAGGAGTTGGTTTTTATCTTCCTGACAGATTTACTGGGTGGGGTCAAACTCTAGCTCACTGTCAACTTTTGCTTTTTCAGGTGGAAGTCAGGCACTAGTTCTCTGTTACCTCCCAATTGCAAGAAATAAAGCTCTTTTAGGGGTTCCCTTGAAGTCCTCCTACTAGGTTTAACATTAGAAATTTTCATTGCATCCCATTCCTCCTGCAAATGGAGTGGGTGAGGACTCACAGCATGGCCCCAGGTTTTTCTTTGTAAATTGTATCTCAAGCTCTCCTTTTTACCACTCTGGCCTCATTTTAGGTCCTTAATCCAGCCAATGTGTCAAAGAGTAGTGGGGGAAAGGGGCTCACCTTCATTCCTTTGTAAATTTTGCCATATTGGTGAGGGCAATGGTCTTACCCTCACTTTGATATCTTAGTGCCAATAATATTATGCTTGAGTTGAAACTGAATCAGGTAGAATCCCACTTTAATATCCAGTTATACTCTTAGATGTCTAAAAGGGATCTGAGAGACCTATGATAATATGCAAAAATACAAAAAGCCCCAAACTCTCACCACAGGAGCAATAAAATAAGAGTTTAATACAAAGGCAGAGGGAGAGGAAAATTATTGTTCAGAAAAGTTAGGCTTAAGAACATTGTTACAAATGAACATAAAACAATGCTGTTAATTTCTTGAAAATCAAGGAAAATAGAGAAGCATGAAGGAAATAAAATTGTCTTATCTAAAAATACTGTTTTAATACACACTGTTTTATTAGGAAGAAGAAACTTTCAGGGCACCAGCATGGCTCAGTAGGTTGAGCATCTGACTCTTGATTTTGGCTCAGGTCATAATCCCAGCATCATGGGATCAAGCCCTGTGTCTGACTGAGCTAAGTATAGAGCTTGTGTAAGATTCTCATTCTCTCTCTCTCTCTTTCTCTCTGTTTCAAAAAAAAAAAAAAAAAAAAAAAAAAAGCCAAGAAACTTCTCTCCAGCACTGAGCACTGAGCTCTAGCAGACTCTCCAGATCCACAATGAATGCTCTAGATAGTAAAATTCAGACTTTCCATTTATTTGAATGTACTGGATTCTGCTAGCAGTTAGCTAGTTTAAGGACTTGAAAACAGCTTAGTTGGGCTATTACTCCAAAACATACAACAGTATTGATGAATCCCATTATACTATTTGGGAAAGTAGGCTGGAGGGTTTATAGGACATGTTTCAAAGAACTCAAGAAGTGTTTGGGAATAAGAATATGGAAATTCAATGAACAGAATCATTAGAATTAAGTCAACTTCCTCATTGCTTCAATTGCATAATCAGAGTGGGAACCTCTGATTTTAGTGTCCAGGGTGATTGTTTCCACCCAGCTTTGGTGTTTTCCAGGGACACTACAGGGGTAGCATGCTCCTCACACTGGGTCCTAAACATGCAGAATTTGAGCTGGACTGGGGTGAATTGGTGAGTTTAAGTTTTGCAGAATGGAAGACAGAGCTTCTTACCTCCTTTCCCTGCTTATGGGTTGTATCTCTTACCCAATGGCATAGTCTCTGAGAAGAATCTGATGTTCAAGTGTCCAGGATCTGACACAGTGCCTGACTAATAGTCCTTATTGTCTATTGACTGAACAAATAAATCATAAATTTACTTGAGCATTGGTGAGAACTTAGCATTATTGTGTGCTCTCTGGATAAGGCAGTCCAATGGGGAAAGCCTTCAGTCCCTGTTCCTACAGTCTCCCATCCCATCACCTAATCATCTCAAGTGCTCTCCTCCTTCCCTACACTGTTAATGTAAATAAGGTAAAGAAACTTATAAATTCACTCACACTAAGGGAAAATAGCCAGTAAGCTACCTTGTGTTGCATCACTAAAACAGGACAAAATCTTATTTGTTTTAAGCTTTGCTGGCCAGATGTACCAAGAAGCAACTAACTTTACAGTATCCTAAGGCAAAACAACTTATTCAATTTATTTAATAATCAATAGCAGAAGTTTTCATAGTGAAGCCTATGGACTCACTACGTAAGATTCACAGAGGATGCTTGGAAAAAACATGATTGTTTTGAATGATAGGCCTCATGCAAGTCTACTGAGGTCTAGGAATCAAATGGATTTTTTAACCAGCTCTGACCTACAGATTATTTTTA